GGTAGTGTATCTTTTACCTTTTTAGATAGTGTCTTTTTCTTCGGGCTATCACTAATTTTTCATATTTGTCGACATGAAAAAAAGAAGACATACACACAAATGGCTAATACAACAAAATAGTTTTCCTATAGTCTTTTACCTTTATAGATATTGTCTTTTTCTATAGGTCTATCCTGAGAAATCTTTATATATATATATATATATATATATATATATATATATATATATGGTATAGGTAGGCAGCAACTTATTCACTCAAATAAATTTGGTTAAAAAAAAACCGACAAGGTTTTCTTTGTTTAATCTTTTATTAAAATTTTTTTAATTTTCGGATAAGGTTTTGAGTATTGTTTTCAAAGTTGTGAATAAATTGTCCGAAGTTTATATTTTGTTATTTTTGTTAAAGTACTTTCGACTCTCGCGGTCATTATCAAGAACCAGTGCCTGTGTTGTCGATAGAATTCCTTTGTTTATATCTTGCTATTCTTTGGGGAGTTTGAAATACTATGACGTGACGTCATGTGTAATAGCTATTAGGAATAAAAAAGAATGCGATTTCTTCTTATTTATTTATTTATCTTATTTTTAATACTAATATAATATGTGCGCGCATTAATTATGCCATATGCACTTCAAGCTACCTCCGGTGGCAAATTATATTTTATTTAACGTGGGCTGTTTATTTCGGATAAAGCTTCTAATATTTTGAGTCTTTTCTTGCATTGCTTTCTGTAGATTATTTTGATGTTATTCACTAATGTTTGCCCTTTATTGATTGTTATATTTGTTTGTTCATAAAGTACTAGTCGATGAGTGCATGGATTGCACTGAGTTTCGATAGGTGGCAAGTCAATCTTCGAAAGACTATGGTGCATGCCTTCCCGATGTAAATATTTTATGCTGTTTGTTGATTATTAGTGTTGCCATCTCCCAGACGGTATGATAATCCGTACATAACATTATGTTTTCCTAGGTATGATTTCTGATATTGAGAATATTTAAATTAGATGCTTAAAACTTTTCATAGTAGATGATAAATCTTAGGATTTTTGTGTGTTATGTACCGATGAATTATATTTTTATTCGCTTTCTCGTCCTGTTTATAATTAAGGTTTGTTCATTAATAATAGAATTAGTTAAAGATGGCCAATTGCTTTCAGGATATTTATTACAGAATCTGCCTTTAGGGTAAAGACAATTTTTCAGTATGCGTGCTTGATAATTTCTAATTAACAAACATTGGTCATGTGCAGCAGGAATAAAACATCCGGTTTCAGCTTTTAACCCTGCACTTCGTAGCCACTGATGGGTACTTGGTTTGTTTACATCAGCTTATTTGGTACAGGTAGAACATTGGCCATGAAATCGCGAATCCTGACGTCTTTTCTGCATCTGGTCTTTTGCATTTGCTTCTTCCTTTATCTTTTAGGTTCTTTACAGCTGCAGTAGAAGCATTATGGTTTATTTGCACTTCTTCACCCACTTGAAGAATTTGTTGGATCCTTTTATTACTTAATAAATTTTCTTATTTATTTCAATTTCTTTATTATTATTATTTTTATTTTCTTTGATTTCTGGCGTTTACACATTTCTTTCCGGGTCCGGCCCAGGAACCTAAGGTTAGAAATGGCACCATGATACTTTCCACTGACAAAAAAAAAAAAATTAAATTACATAGATAAAGCCCTTCGTAAGGTGTGGGCTGTACTTGTCAAAACAATTTTTTGTATCTCCTTGAGGCATGGACTTCCAGGAATCCCTTCAATTAGTCTACTGCAATCTTTTTCAATCAGTCCTAGGGCTCCAACTACAACAGGGATTGTTGATGTTCCCATATGCCACATTTTCGAGATTTCTATTTCAAGGTCCTTGTACTTTGACAACTTTTTGATTAATATTATTATTATTATTATTATTATTATTTATGTATGTCATGTTTTCTGCTTTATATCCTGTAGATCCGGGTTCAAACTCTGGTCCTGAGGCCCTATATGGTAACTTTCACTTAACTGATAGAACTTTGTATACGGGATGTTCCTAGTAGGGCGATCTTCTGGCCAAATTGTGTGTTGATGTTACATGGTCAAATTGTCCATTCCTTTTCGCACAAGGCCCAGAACTCCGATTACTATAAGTACAGTCTTAATCTTCATTCCCCACACCCTGTCAATCTCAATCTCCAGGTCCTTATATTTGGACAATTTCTAGATAATTTTTATGGGGGTATTTCACTCAGATTGTACTCCTATGCCAATAAGCATACACTTCCTGAATTTTTATGACTTTTATGGTGATATCATATCCGTTACCTCTTATTTCCATGTCAGTTCGAATTGGCATCTCCCAGAGGATGATTACATAATTTGGGGTAACTGTCTGGTTGGTGATCATAGTATCTCTCAGTGGTTTCGATTTTGTGATTCTTGCATATCTTCCAGTACACATATGTCGCTACCTTGTTTGTGGGTATATTCATTTTTTGCTATTCCGGAAATCCTTGGATAATAGGTAATAAGAAGGGTTTTGAGTTATTTTTTCTAACTTTCATTGAAGCTAATTTTACTTGTTTGTCGACGACGTGGTCAGAGAAGTTATTATTAAGTTTTGTTAAACGTTGTTTAGTTCCTTACAGAATAACATGTCCAAAGAAGCGATGAATTTGGCCCAGTAAATCATTAATCATTTTATTTTTAAACAATTGACACCATGCAAGGTAATAATTAGCACTAAGACACAAGGAGACTAATGGAAGTGAAAGAGGAGAAACGAAAATAGTTTAGAAGTAACCAGAAACCCAGTCCTAAATAGAGGACAAAGAGTGAACACTCCTGTTCAAAAGACATGGGAGGGCGGTTAACCGCAATATGTGAGAACATTGACTTTTGTAGTTAAGTAAACATGGATTTCTGTTATTTTTTTCTAAAAAGATGTGGTAAACTAATGCTATTGGGATCGGCGTATACGCAAAGGAGGTGGATTTTATTCTTAATATTGATTTCGAAAGTAGGGTGTACGACAGAATAATTCTAAAAGGTTTCTATCTTTTTTTTTTTAATTTCTTCTAAGCTCTTTGCTAATGTGAATATGTCATCAATAATATTATAATCTTCCTAATGCTAATAAAAAAACAAACAAACAGTAATAATAATAATTTCAATCAATTTAAAATGAAATACAGAAAATTAATTTGCTTATTGGAATTATAAAATTATATCTGTTAATTTGTAATTAAAACTAAAATAAAAGCTTGAAGAAAGATTTTTCATTTCAGGTGTCGTCTCAGTTGAAGGTTCCTCTCTCTCTCTCTCTCTCTCTATATATATATATATATATATATATATATATATATATATATATATATATATAGTCGGGTTTCGATCCTAGCTAGAGGCAACCGGATGTCTAGCCACACTGAAGAGCTGACTTTATATATATATATATATATATATATATATATATATATATATATATATATGTATGTATGTATGTATGTATAATATTAATTGAAGAATATCAAACACTTAAAATCCCATAGGTAATAAGTTTTATTTCATGAGAGCTCTAAAACAGCAGCTCTCATTCT